GTGTGTGTGTTTGTTGGCTTGTTTATGCCCGCATGTGTCTGTGTCCGTGTGGGTATGTATGCCCATCTATGCGCCCATGCCAGTTCGCTTGTGCGGTATGAGACGCTACATACATCCCAAAAAGACAACCCCCCCCCTCCAAGAAACAATTACCAAAACAAAATCGAAATACAAAGAGCAACAAACATGTAAAAACAAACAGAAAACAAGAGCCCACTTTCCAACAAAATTGAGCCTCCATCAGTAAGTTACTATAACACCCACGTACACGGAAATGGCACCATTAGCTTACATGCAAAGGGGAAAGAGGGGTGGGGTAGGGGGTTTAGAAATGAGAAAGCTACAATTTTGGAAAGGGGGGGGGGAGATTGGCTGGGTGTGGGAGAAACCCAAGCCTAAAATAGCGCCAGGACGAGTGGCGAGTGGCAATGACAGATCCCAGACTGGGAGAAACGTGAACACAGAGGTCCGTGTTTGCCAACATGACAACGTAACCGGCCGCGAGCAGCACACTTCACATCTGGGGCAGTAATCAGTGCCATGGGGGATACTGACACTGTTTCTTCCTCCAACCCACTTTTTCATGATAAGAGGGAGGGGGAAAGAGGGGAAAAGGGGGGATTTGGGGGGGGGGGGGGGGTGGGGGGGGGGGGGAAGATATTCTGGCAGAACTTCCGTGTAGATTTATATTGACTAACTAAAAAAAAAAAAGAAGCTTTGTTATAATTTGAATTCTTGAGCTAAATGTGTAATATCAGAGGGACAATTTGTCCATCAGAGGGACAATTTGTCCCTCCACCAACATTGACCTCGATTTTGTCCCCCCTTCAACATTGACCTCGATTTTGTCCCCCCTTAAAGTTCTCTCTCTCTCTCTCTCTCTCTCTCTCTCTCTCTCCCCCCCCCCCCCCCCCCCCCCCCCCCCCCCCCCCCCCCCCCCCCCCCCCCCCCCCCCTCAACACACAGACCCCTAGCTCACATCACGGACTTACCGGCCCTGGACATTCCCAGGCCCAGACATTTCTGCAGACGACAGTACTGGCACCGGTTCCTGGTCTGCATATTGATGTCGCAGTTCTTGGTGTAGAAACATTTCTTGCGCGCGGGGTCGCCCACATTCTGCAGGGCTCTTCGGAAGAACCCCTAGAGAAAGGCAATACAAAGTATTCTTGTAATTTGACAAGTTTTATTGGATAAGTTTTATGGTTCCATCAGCACTATTTAGATAAAACATATTGTTGGAGAACAGAAAATAGACCAGACGAAATGAAAGAAGATATAAAAATCAAGTCTTAAAGCCCCCCCCCTTCTTATCCTTTAATAAATGGAATCTATAACAATTACTTGTCATAATTATTTTCTTTGCAAGGGGCGATCTCAAACAGGCGCGCGCGCGCGCGCGTGTGTGTGTGTGTGTGTGTGTGTGTGTGTGTGTGTTTGTT